TTCACAGACATTCACAGATTCTGTTGGTTATTTTTGGAGGCTAATAAAAAGCATTTGGGGTAAAATTGATAGAATAAGCATTTTCTATTCACAACTGCCGGGTTCAGTCGAGGCGAACAGATGGAGTTGAGCACTAATAAAACTCTCATATTTTGCGTCAAATAGTTTAACTGAAATCAGACGAGATTCTTTCGCCCTCTGTGGTGAACGCTAGGCCTGTAACGGTATTTGTAGTCATCCCGAACCATCACGGTTCAAACGTCATGGTTTGGTGCATGCAGTCATAATCACCAATACATCTGAGGAGAGAAAAAAAGGCAGTCCCACATGGGAGTCCACACCCAAATCCAGGTGACGGTAATGCTTGGAACTGTTTGCTAACTACTATTAAAAAAGCAAACGCAGAAGAAGAAGCTGACACAACAAAATACACAATGAAGTAGAGATGTGACAGATCCAATCAAATATTGATATCGGGACTGATATTGACGTAATTTAAATATCCTCTATCTGACTGACGACGCCGATCAATGTCACAGTTTAAGAAAGATCGTTGGGCACTCTTAACATTTTTAGCTTGTACAGTATCACTTTCATAATGAACTGCAAGGGCCCACAAATTGTCTACGTCAAGACGTTGAGACAAGATGGAACAAGTCTTTTAAAAAAGTACAATTCTTGCACTTCAGTTTTAAAATATTTAATTTGAAAACCTTACAGATGTTGCTGCTTCCTATTTGTATGAGAAGCCAGCACAATGAAATGCAATGCCAGCTTTACTACAGCTGAAATCGGTATCGGTCCATCTCTACAAAGAAGAACAGTATTATACTGTGGCAAGATGATACAACAGAGCTAGAATAGTCACCTGTTTCTTTAAATCCACACAAAAATAAATATGTGTGGGGAAGATCTCAGTTCACAGTGCAGTATTTTAATTGGAAACAAGTCAAATATGTCAATTATTATTAGATATCACCCAGTTGTAGCAATCACTGGAGCTAGGCAAAAGATAAGGCTGTTTTTTAAGGGTCGAAGACATGCCAATAAATTTAGAGGGACAAGGGCCACAATTCACAAAAGAGCATTTTTCCCAATAATTAGAATATATCAACACCTGGAATGACTACTTTCGGAAAGGTTCTATAGCAAGAAACTTAATTTTTATATTACTGTGGGGCCACTCCCACTGTGTCATTGTCATATAATTAATTGATCATCTAATATTAAATCTATCTTACTACTATGTGGTGGGTTGTGAAGACTTTCTTGAGAGGTGGGGGATTTTTGAAAACTAAACCTCTGTTTTGATACTATTTTATGCAAAGTAGCCACCTAATTTCCATTCAAATACATCTTTGAATAAATTAAAAGCTGTGATGTGTACCTCCACATTGGATGCACACCAGCTTTCATTAGAAATTGAATGATCAGAATGGAAAAAAAGTGCTTTTTACCATTAATTTTATGTTTTTAGTGGTTGTTTTCCAACAATCAGACACCTTTTCAGATAGCCTAGTATAATCAGCAGTGGCACTGTTTACCTCTCGTCATCAGCTGATCCCTCTGCATTTCTTCTCCTATTCATTATCTGCAGCTGTCTGTCTGTCTGTCTAAATGCAGCACATAAAAGCATACCATGTGATCCAACAATAATGGCTCGCTTAAACAATAGCACCAACGACCACAAACTCTTATGACTCAACATTTTTGGAGAAGTCCTTGAGAACTTCAGGGTCTAACTTCTTCCACTTGTTACTGGTTTGGCAAAATCAGAAGAGCTGGAGTGTTTTTTTTTTTTTATCCCCACCTGGACATTAACCCTACTCAGAAATCTATCACACTCCTGCTGTCGAACTGACATAGGGCTTATGCATGCACGCTTGTGCAAGGGCGCATGCACTCGCAGAGCAGAAAGAGCAGAAAGAGAGAAAAGAGGATAGGGGAGAGGGCATCGCACTGGCCTGATTACGTTTTTCCAGACCTGATACTCACATTAAAACAAATGTATCTGTTCTTTGGGCCAGACTGTACGCAAACAGGAAAAAAGCTATTTTTAAAAAGGGCATTTTCTCTGTAGAGGGCAAAAGAGCAGGGGCTCAAGCCCATTTTTTTTGTTTATGTGTACCTGTGCCTGTTATTGGTTTCTTCATTTTTAAGACCATGTGTGCATTTGCAGCAGTAGAGGACCCTGGCCTTAAGTTTGTATTTAAAGTACCCATCCCCGTTATAATTTCCCATCCCATGCAGACATAAGCCTGTCCTTCATCCTTTACGTACACTAGCCGTGATTAGCGCAAATAACCGCTGCACCTGCTGTGCTTTATAAAATGTAAACATCCCTACACTAAAATACTCAACAAAAGAATTCCACTAAATCCCCCGAAATAAAAACAATGCCTGCCTCAGTAGCGTTGAGCTGAAGTCTCCCTCTTTAGTTTCATTCTTCTGTCGATAGTCAATCAAGATTTTAAAATGCACCCTGTATAACTGACAACGTATCAGACCTCTTCAACAAACACAGTATAAGGGGAATATCTCAGGTGTGGGCGAATCAAAGTAAAAAAAAACTGAAGAAAAGCAGGAAGTACAGCCTCAGGCGTGAGGAAGAGAAATTAAACTTTGTGATGTAGTGTGTAGTTTGAAAACCTCAAATTCTGCTGATTGTTCAGACAGCTTGAATGTGGTACAGCGCACTTATTATTTTATTCTTTACCTTCCCTTTCAGAAAAATACTTAACACAAAAAACACAGTCTGGCAATCGCTCTGATTCCTTTTGGTCGGTCTACTGAAGTGAACTGTTTATGCAGTGGAGGCTGCGGTCGCTCGCTCGATGTGCAGTGGGCTTCTGGCCAGTCCGTAGCCCTCAGAGACAGACCTCCCTGTCCTGTCAGCTGACTCCGTTTCCCAGGGTCCCCAAATCCAAAAGGCCATCAGTGTCAATCTCTGTGCAAACACACAAGGAGGAGGAGCTGTAAAAATGTTTAGATTCATTCTGAGGGGCCAAACATCAGCAGCTAAACAACCCCTGGAAATGAAATTAAAGTAAATATGTGTGGTTCTAATAAATATAGTTACATATCCAAACAAAAGAGCCACTAACAGCTTTTAAGGATCTTTTATTAAGCTTACATATTCTGTGTGTGTGTGTCCATCCAGTGATGCTTTCCAGTGAAGGTCCTCCTACACAGGGCCTCCCAGCAGAAGTTGACTCAGCTTGAGCAGGAGTCATTAAAAACAACTCAGCTTGCTTAAGTTTTGGGAAAGCCTCTCGTCATCTCCGAAGGCAAAGCTTGACAGGGTCTCTGAAACCTTATTTTGCAAAACTTCCCCCTTTGATGTGTGGGAGTGTAGGAGGGAGGTGAGAGGGCCTCTAGTGATCACTTTTAGCTGGAAAGAGTCACTAAAGAGAACAACCTGAAAGATTAAAAAGAGTTGTGCAATGTTTGAATAGGAGTAGAGTTCAAGTCTTAAGTCTTATCTTCTAAATCACATGAGCTGCAAACATTAGTATGTCAAGCTAACTAGGCTGACATTAGCCATTTTTGCAGCCAAATACAGGTTTAGCTGCACTTCTTCTGATGTGTTAAAGTGAAGAATACTATTTGAAAAGATTAGAAATTTGAAGCATATTTATCCTAATAGTACTTGAGCTACGGTTTAGCTAGCAGTCATTTTTCATTTCCTGTTAGTTCAACTATGCCAATACGTTTAAGCCTTGAAATAAACAAGTTTTTTTTTTTTTTTTTACCTGTACATAAACAGGAAAGAAGCTGTATTTGTGACAGCATCAGAGACAGCTAGGCTAGCTTGCACGTTTGCATGCTATATGCTAAAATAAGCGATCTGCTCAGAGTAGCTCTACAGCTAGGCTACTTGACACAGATTTTTACTAACCATGCAAGCAAACACATTTCTTTTTTTTTAATGTTGAACTATTATTGGTTAAAAGAAATGCTTTTGTCCTGACTTTCTATTTTGTTGAAAAAAGGAGAAAGACTCATACAACGTTAACCAAATTACTTGGTACTGCGACCAGTTAATGTATGTTAACATGAATTTAGTTCTAATTGAATTGTAGGTGTTTATGATTTTCTTCTTGGGTTAAGTTTGTGGTTTATTTTTAACAGTAGCTAAGTGGGAAGAAGTGGAAAAAGCCTCTGGCAAAGACCTATCTAAAGAAAAACATCAAAAGTAATGTCTTACATTCTGTGGAGGATTTCATACATTCCACTGTTTAGTAACAGTATGCCCCCCGTTTGATATTGGCCACACCTTATTTCTTTAATAAAGTCCCTCTCTTCTTCATCCCCCTCTTGTCAGGTCTTTTTATGAATTGCTCCCACACTGAGGCCCACTGTAGCAAGGGGCCTATTCACTAGGCCGAGAGACAGTGAAGAGACACACAAAGAGTTCCCCACACAGAGGAGAAGCCTGTGAGCTCAGCGCTGACCCCTGAAGGATGTGTGTGGGCTGCACCCAGACACAGTGGCCCTGCCAACTTCGAACCAAGCTCCTCCCTCTGCTGAACTTGACCTTTCACTTAACCCGTGCAACTCCCAACACAACCTCAGACAGGCTTGGAACTATCTATAGAGACTAAACGAGAGGAATGACTGAGTGACATAAAGTCTGATGGTTTATTGGCTGTTTCAAGTTGAGACCCTCTGAGGCGTCTTTCCCAAGTTAGTTGTTGGCATACAGCATAAAAGCCAAAGCAGTGAGAATGAAAAAGCTAAGAAGCTAGCAGCTGAATTTAGTTTTAATCCTTTGTTCTCAGACATAAATTATGTTATTATATACTAAATATGTCTGCCTCAAACCTCACAGGCTTTATATTGCTCATGGCTCTTTTTGTGTTTGTGTGACAGTTCTGGTCTACATTGTTTCAATAATTCCTTAAATATCCATTCCAAGAAATTTCTTATACCAATAAGTTATAGACATTTTTTATCATGCTATACATCTGAGACCCATTTTTTTCTGTCTGTGCTTCCAGTGCTGGATCAGCTCCTGATGGAGCTCCACCGCTTCCTGCTCATCCTGGACAAAGAGAAGCTGAGCGGGAACGCGACTGTCCAAAAGGGCTTGCTCCACGATCTCTTCCAGTCCTACAGAACCGCTAATGGTATGAAAGAAAACCTCAGAATAGAAGATATAGTGGAAATATCAATGTTATGTGCTGGGGTGGCCAGTCAGATTTCAAGGGGGGCCCATACCCCTCCTGGTCTCCCCTCTGGACACACCACTGGCTAAAGTAAGGTTTAAGTTGTAACTTATGCCTATGTTCGAACTTTCTCAGCTCCTGCAACCACTGGACAGTCAGTAGTAGAACTCTTGCCTAAATATGAAAATATGTCCAAACTATAGGCTACATTTGAACAGAGCATAGCTGGTGCAACCCATGGCAGGTCTATCCTGTTCTCTTTGTGTAACATATTTAAAGAGAATCCACTTAATCCACCATGAACAAGTACTTGGCAGCAAAGGGAATAAAAGACTTCCTTTTAACAGGCAGATAACTTGATCATATCTAGATTTATTGGTGGACAGCCGTCTGCCTCAACTAGCTGGGCCCAGATGTTTTTTGCAAAGTCCCTTAACCCAATTTGCTAATATTTAAATGTGAAAGTCCAGACAAATACAATTGTGAAACTTGCTACATATTCAGGAACTGAGTTTTTAGGATGTTTTACAGAATTTGTGTACAACTGTTTTGCCAAGCCCAGCCAAAACAAATAATAGGAGGAAGTGAAAGGTTTCAAAGGGGAGACCCAGACCCATGTTATCAACGCACAACAAAATAGCTGTACCAGAAAAATGACAATAGAGGAGCATTATAACAAGTGATTATTGGTTGAGCCTCAAGCAATTGTTGATACCTCTTAAAAAATATTTTACTCCAGGGATAAAATTGTGTCTGCTCTTTGCCATGGGTTCACATTCCCATTAACTCTGCTGAACGTATCAGGAGTTCAAGTAGCATATTATATGAGCAAGTCTTAGTTGGCCAATTCTAAAAAAAAAAAAGAGAATTGTTGACTCAAAGCATATATGCAGTACTCCTTATTTGTATTTCTTAATACTTTGGTATTTATGATGACATGACAGTTAAATTGCTTGAGGTTTAGCCACATTGTTTTAATCGGGGTCACTCTGGCAGTAAGTCCGCCTTTCTGCAAAGCATTTTATGTAACATGTGGTCGTGCCTTGTGTTTCCCACAATTCATTGTGCATGTATTACATCGACCTTTTCACTAGAGGGGCTATCAAGCAAACTACTCTGGTATTATTTTTGCTATTTTAAACTCTCACTGACCACCATGTCATAATTATTCTTTGCAAGCTGCTTTTAACTAAATCATTTGGGGTCGTTTAGCTCATTTTGGCAGCTGAAAAACATATTTGACTGTATTTTCTATTTCTCTTTGCATAATTTTTGCAATGACTTCTTTATTCTAGGATAGTTTGCGGTTACTTATTTTACCCTGATAACAATCCAATGAAGTACCTCTTGCTTCATCAAAAATGATGCGTTGCCTGTTAATGTATCCTGTCAAACAGCTGATGACAAGTTTGTTTTGCTTGCCCAATGGCTCTGACGCTCAACATGAAAACATGGCAACTGCTGGTGGGCTGCTGTGATTTATGGTGCCTCGACATTTTGCAACTAACTATGTGAATCAGTGCTACATGGAGCCTCATCTAAGCCTCAGCTGCTAGTTACAAAGCTTTTAGCTAACTTTAGACCTTAACAACATCCAGAACCCACTCTGGCAAAACCTCACTGCTTTATTTGAATTTTTATAACAATATGTTTCTGATTATTTCAGAGTCAGATTTTAGTTTTAAACCCATCAAGAGGGGTTTTGCTGTTCTCACTCCTTCATTCTCTGTCTCTCACACACAGATACACACACACACACACACACACACCAGCAGTCAGGCTTTTCCATGTTCAGCTCCTGGACTTGTCTCTTCGTACTTCCTCTCCTGGCTCCGAGCTGTATCATTTTTCCGAAGCTGCATTTATCCTCTGGGGAAGCTCACTTCCTTCAAGCAGCGGATTATAAATAGCATTTCAACTCAGTTCCCCCGAAAAATCTGTTTCCACTGTGCAGGCAAAACATCGTTTTCATTCTGCTGTTGTTTGGTTTCACCTCACGATATCTATTTCAAAGACTAACCTTCTCTCGATTATCACCCAGGGTTAGAGATCTGGTTGGTTCCCCTTCCGGTTTTAATCGTAGTCAGCGAAAAAATATATAATTCAATGAAAATGACCTGCAGCTCCAGAACAAATTCCCATAACAGGTTACAGTAACCATCTGTTGTGTAAAACCACAGGGTTTATTGTTTTTAAAGAATCTCATTCATTCATATTGTTTATGTGGTGTATGACGATGTCTTCCCCAGCAATCACTCCTCCATGTCGAGGCCAGCGTTAAATCAAACACAGTCGTTTTCTCACTAAGCTTATGTCAGCAATGGTGTATGACATCAGGTTTCATCATCCCTGCTTATTTCCTAAATGATACCAGAGCTTTCATTTATTCTGAAGCATTTACATATGACTGTAGAGAGAAGTCAAATGAATCTCTATGACCGTGCATGTACAATTTCTCACCGTATTAAGCTCTTTTATTCCTCATCACTGTGCTTTTATTGTTGTAACAGGAGACTATAGTGTCACGGCCGGCTCAAAGACACTGACAAATGACAGGAGGAGACAAGGAGTTACTCTCAAAATAGGTTACATTTATTTACACATAAGAAAATAAGTCAATTGTGAAAGGGTGTATGCATGAGTGAAGGATTAGTGAGATGTTGCGTGGAAAAAAACAACAAAAGAAAGGAGCATTGGGGAGCAGCCTCTCTCAGTCCCTTTCTTTATGTCTCCCTTTCTCCCAAAATTAAGAAGTGGGGCCTTCTCTTATGGACTGGGAACACCGGGCCCAGGTGCTTCCAATCCCAGAAGACCCAGCTACACCCACTGGCACCCGAAACACACAAACAGCCAACCAGAAAAAACGAGCAACCATAGCAATAGCAGGGTCGTCACAATAGCTATAAAAACAATGTTATTCTTTGTCATTTCAATTTTATCAAACACTCTTTGTGACTTTTAATGTCCTTAGATCCACAAACTAATAGGATCAAACTAATTGTATTGTATATTTCATTGTATTGTGTTTCATTGTATATTTATTTATAAGATCTTCCAAACTTCAAAGATAGAATTGAAACAGTGAACTATCTGTGTCTGCAAGGAGTATTCTGACGAATGTCTGATGAATGCAAGCAACGGTGAGGGTGGGTGTTGAAAATGAGCCTATCTGCCTGAACAATAGGCCTCTTGTTTGGGTCCAGTCCCTCTTTTACTCCTGGACTTTTTTTGACTTTTGTTCAAACATGATGAAACTAAGGTGGACTGAGTGCTGCAAGTTACTTTCATTGTGTACAGTTTTATCAAATGTATCTGATGTTAAAACTGATATACTTAAAATAGTGAAAATCTGCATGAATCACTTAGGGTTTGTAGTTATGCATCTCGTGGCCTTCTTCTACTTTCTTTGGTTAAACACAATGATAGTAGGTCAGGTTACCATTTGCACAATACCAGAAGTAAATATATCAACGCCTAACCATATTTTGCTGTCTTTGTGCAGGTGCTGATGAGGAATACATCTACATGAACAAGGTCATTGTTAGTGGCAAGGACAAAGACGACAAAGGTTCTTGTTTCCCTGACCATATATTTGTATATTTGTCACACTTGGGTAACCTCTCTAACTATTTATACAGTGAACTGCAACCATTGAATGCATTGCTTTTTTAATTAAGTATGAATATTTATGTCAAATACCCTAGACATCATGGCTGTTTTTTTTCTAAATTGACTCTTGTGTTGAAATACTGTTCACTAAGAAAACCTTTGACATCCAATAAGCCTTAGTTGTACTTTTTGTTTGGTGCTTTAAAATGTTAGCCTGCTAACACACAAAGCCAAGACTGTACATGCAAATAAAGCTTCAGAGTTGCTAGTAAATCTGTAGGGTCTATTTCTTGTAAATAAAAATTAAATAGGTAATAAGTTAAGCTAATAGTTAGCAAAACATACCGCTACATGTATCCATTTAGCTAGCACCTTGCTAACTTAAGCCAAATGATTGGTTTCTGAAAAAATAGGATTCTTTTAGCAGTTTGGCGTTATTGACGTCTGTCAAACAGCAGCGCATTCTCAACTTGACATGATTCAAGTGAATAGCATGAGAATAAGCTTCCACAAGCTGCAGCTGTCCCCCCACCCCAAAACTCCCCTCATCTCAACCCCATTTCCTGTCTGTTTCTTCATAGCTCCTCACCATCTGAATGTGACCTGTTTTGTTTGGACAGTGTCGAAGAATGTGGTTTCAGTGAGCACTAGACTGAATACATATTTTCAGCAGCAACGTTAGCAAAACCACATGGTTTTTTTTTGCTGAGGCTGATCAAAGTGGGGGGTGAGACGTGAGAATAAAGGTGTCTAAAATGTTGGTGGTGTGATAAACATGAACTAACTAGGTCAGTTAAAGTTCAGGAAAATACATTTTAGACTTATATGTCACTTTAAAGCATTGTAAATAAAATAATTGACAGTTATTTAAGCTCTAGTTAGCCTATCTGTTTGCTTTGATAACAGTACGTGGGAATTTTGGAATACTGACTTCTTCGCTTTATTTCTGTTGAGCTCTTTCCCCATCCTCATTATCACACAAAAAGGCCTTTACCTAGATCAAAAGTACACCGCTCAAAATGTTGAGCCATTTCTCCTGAATGTCATGAGCTCCACAGGTCTATTTTTTTCTTGTATTATGGCATACTTGCAGAGAATAATACACTTAGAACATGTCTAAAGGCCTCTCTCAAATGTAAAATATGTGAGGATACACAAAGCTCTTAGCTAAAGTATAAGCAAAATAAACTCATTGGATGTGTCAGAAATCGCACACTCATCCCCTGCTCACTACATAGGGAGTTCTCTGTAGTGGACTATATATGGTGCACTCGTTCAGCAAAAATAAAATAAAACATTTCGGACACTATTCGCTCTCTCTAAATAAATGTTTTATTTATATAAAGTCTGTGCAACTCACAGAACTTTAAGTTAATTTCACACACAAGAAGTATTATTCAAAAAACTGTTTGCAAACGTTTACTTAGACCACTTGGTTTGTTTTTCAAATACGCAAAGATAAGATCTCAAATTAGGATTATATATTTCTTATATTAGTCTCATGAAATTCTCTTGGGACAAAAATTATACAAATCACACAAAGACAAGATCTGTCAATTATTGCTTTAATGATTTTCTAAATTCAGTCTTGTTTTTCTTTAGATGGATAGATAGATACTTTATTGATCCCGAGGGAAATTCAAATGTGTCAGATGTCTCGTCTTTTTTCTGTCTGCTTTAAAGCAGACACAAATCAGTCCGTTTAAGACAAAGATAAGATTCTTATTTTCACGATAAAATTGTGCTGTGGTCTGATGAGTAACCACTGATTTTTATTAAAAGCCAGCCATCATAAATCAATGAGAAAATAATATGAAAAAAATTAAAAACATTTTTTCGTCTGTAAACATAATATGGGTTCCAGCCAGGCTTTTAGGGGTGCCAAAAAGTTCTTAAATGTAAATGTTTACATCTGGAATAGTGCAAATAAAAAATGACTGAATTTGGACTATTTCCGTTATCACATACCTTTAATTTATACCTTATTACCTTTTGTTCATTTTATAACAGACAATAATAATGTAAGGATTAATGTATCTGTTAATAACTGACCTCCCTCTCTATGATTTCATGACATAGATGACAGATCAAATTCCCTGGTCAATGGGAAAGCAGCAAAATACGTCCCTGTCCCACAGAAGAGCCTTCCTGAACTGCCACCACCAAGAACAGTAAGTGATAACCAGCTCAGTTTCATCTTTGTGGACTAACATGTGAAATGATTTGGCCTGTTACACAAAGCTTTTTGAGCCTCTGGCATTCTCATGGAAATTGTAATATCATAATTGACCTCAGTAGGACTGCTGTACCCAACAAAGTACATGAGAAAGTTCACTAAGTTTTATGTACTATGGATCGGTAAGTGCTGCCACAGAATTGCATTGGTTTTGAATCTGTGTTCGTACAAGCCAAAAACATTTCCCACAATTCTCAGAGTCACAAGCCTGAGGCTGTGTGAAATCAATTCTCCCACAGAAACAGGTATTTAATCACTCAGGGGGCTACAGAACTTGGGAAGTGAGAATCCAAGAGTGTGTGAAAGAGCTGTGGTGTGTTTTATGTTGGCTGCAAGGCCGGTGGCTCCTGAATTGGCCCAGTGTGACTTCAGGAAAAACGTAGAGAATGAGGGGTTTAGAAGATCCCGTAAGTGCCTTTGAACTTTGCTAACACACACACACACACACACACACACACACACACACACACACACACACACACACACACACACATGCACAGTGGCCTGCCCTAATATAAACTACAGTAGCAGCTGTTGCTAATCAGAACAAACGCTTAGTGTCAGCACTTGTGTGTGTGTGTGTGTGTGTGTGTGTGTGTGAAAGTGAATGGACTGAAATGAAGAACATTTCTCCAGAATCATTTAGTATCATTTAATCTGTAGATCTATTTTTGAAAGCTGAAAAAAAAACATGGCATTGTTCTCCTTTCAAGCAGCAGTTTCACAGTTGCAGTAAAGCTTCCACAAATCCCTCGGATGTGTCTGGCAAAGGCATTACTACTTCTTTCCCTTCTGCTTCCAGCTGTGGTGTAACTGGTCCCGACTTGGGAAGCCTGAGTAAACACGTCCAAAGTGAACCACTCTTTGGAAATCCCTTCATCTGCCTGCGAGGCTTCCATCCATCTCCAGTGATGGTGTACACCAGAGTTAGCATGTGCTTAACTGTGAACACGGAGTCACCCCTTATCATTGCTGTGAACAGCGCTCCCTTGCTGTTGATATAGTTTCCTTGCATGGCTGTCCACTGACCAGTCGTAATGTTGTAGCATTCCATTAAGCAGCGCAGGAAGTCATCAGAAGGCCCATTGCGCATCACATACAAGTTGTCCTTGTGAGAAGCCATACAGTGGCCATAACTTTGAGGTTTGATCATTGTGGTTTCGAGTTTCCACTCGTTTCTCAATGGTATGTATTCATAAATATCTGTGGTGTCTGGTGGTTTCCAGAAGCAAACAAACATCCGCCGTCTTGCAACAGCACAAGCTGCAGAAGCTACTGGTCTTGGTGCATGTTGAATGAAAGTCCACTCTCCCGTCTCAACATTGTAACTCTCAGCTGTGGAAATTGTCCGTTTTTTAAATTCCCCGCCAATGGCATAGAGTTGTCCTTCGTGCCCCAGCAAGGTGAAGTCGTATCTTGGTTGCTGAGGACCCGGGAGAGCTGTCCATACTCCTGAATCAGGATCGTAGCAGAAGCTGCCATCCACTGTGTCCTTACCGTAACCATAAACTCCCCCGACAATATACAATCTATTGTCAAGAACCACCACGCCAGCCATGGAGGTGCTGCACAGAGTTGGGAGGTTGGTCAGATGCTTCCATTCTCCTGCTTTTTCATCAAGGTAGCAAACAACTCTGAAGGAGTCGTGCAACGATTCCATTGATGGAGAATGTGTGCCTATCGCGATGAAAGAGGAAGGGGATAATGATTGAGAATGCTGAAGAAGTTCTTCGGGGATTGTACTCTCTGCTGCTTCCTTCAAATCTTCAAAAGCATCACAAAGGAAAAGGGCAGCCTTGTGAAAGAGTGCATGCACCCCAAAGATATGGGCCGCATGGTAGAGCAATAGGCAGTTATCAGAGTCAATTATGTCGCAAAGATGCAGCACCAAACGTTCCACCTGCAAGAAAGCAGCACACTCTACGGCCTCTACAAGCTCATCCGGGTCCGCTAGAGTGGGAATCTCTCCCCTGCAGACAGCAAGGGCGATGAGGAAACCCCTTGCACAAACTCCCCCCTTAAGGTGGAGCTCATCCTGATGGCTTTCAGTCATCCCAGAGCGGAAGAGAGCACCAAAGTAGCTACTGTTTCTTACCAGCAAGGCCTGCTCCACAGTGAACCAGCTCTCCTCCACTTTCACTCTCACCATGCCCGCCTGGTGTGCCGGATCAGGGGTCGAATTCTCAGCATGAACACACTGGTTAACTCCCAGGCCTTCAGGCACTTCCATGATCCCTCCTTAAATACTGGCTCTTTTCTCTTCCTAAAACAGGTTCTTAAGAGACAACTCCGCATGTGACTCAAGTGTAGATTAGCCATTTTTCCAGCAGATCTGGACGGTAAATAAAGGTTTGTGTGAGTTCCATTGCGTCCTGTCTGCATGGTCTGAAAATAGAGTCGGACTATAGATAGCAGCTGTGCCACTTGCAAGCGTCAGGCAGGGAAAGGAAAACTGTTGACATGCACACTACGTGGTTATGTGGCTGCATACAGCTGGTGATTATCATAACTGCCGTATAATTGGCTAGCATAAGCATTTGCTGAATTATTCATTACTATGTTTTCTGCAAGTATTATCCCTTTAACCCAGTTTTTCTTTTACACGACTATTTCTGTTTTATTCCTTTTTTTTTTTTATGGGTAGTAAGTTTGTACCTCGTAAACACAGATGCAAACCAAAACGTTGAACCAAAAATATGCAAGGTTTAGAGGAGGTTAAAGTTTTCCCAAGCAGACACAATGATGGAAAAAGTTGTTGCAGAGTGTGTGTCATGTGAGCTATTAATGCCTCCTGCCTTACAATTAAGAGTTTTATTCCATTTTTATCATTGATTCAAATTTTATGAGAACATTTCTCATTTTATTCAAGTGTTTTTAAATCATTTTCACAAGTGATATACGTAGAGATGAGGTCTCCAAAAGCTAATAATGTTTATCAATACCTTCTCCTCTGCTCTGCTCCCAGCAGGCTCTTAGATACACTCTAAGTATGTGTGTGTATGTGTGTGTGTTTTCACTGTGCCGGATTCTTGGCATGGGAACCAGGGATTTTCCATGTTCCTCCGACTGTTCGTTTTTTGGGCTCTTTTTCCCACTCTTTACTAAAAGCCCCTCCACCACACCCTCCTCAGCCTCCTTACACCCCCCGAGCTTTGTTATTTATGCTCTGACTCCCCAATCCATTCCCCCTACCCAATGTTTCTGTGGTGAGGATGTGTGTATATGTGTGTGTGTGTGTGTGTGTGTGTGTGTGTGTGTGGCTGAAGTGACCACAGGGTATCGAAAGTCTTCCATATGAAGAACACAAATGGACGGACACCTGACTTGTTTCTGTCCCGTCCAGCTGGTTTGTGTAAATGCTCAACATATTCCTCTTGGGCCTCGGCCTCGACAACAACAGACAGAACTAGTTTTGTTGGAAAGAAGTAAAAAAGAAAGAGAAAAAAAGAAAGAAGATAAAGATAAGGGTGGATGGGTGGGCGGTCAGGGGGCTGTTGCTGCTGCTCCTCTGGAATGCCTGGCTCTTTGTTTTAATTAATAACAGATGCCTGAAACTGCAGTTTTTCTTCACTGCAGAGCTGTTTAAACTGTTAATGTTGTGTCTGTGTGTGTGTGTGTGTGTGTGTGTGTGAGAGAGTGCACAGAATCAGTTTCATTAATGAAGTTTAATGAAGTTTCTGTCAACTTGTGAGCTTCCTTGCTGTCTTGCTAACTTCTGTGGTCGTGTTTTATATCAAAACAATTTCTTCAATGGACATTTAAATACATTAAGTCTATTGTGTCCAAATCAAAACAACAAAAAACACAACATGCGGTACTACTTTTGCACAGTGAAGCTATAATTACTTTTTATGACATTCATACTTTTGTAAGGACTACATTTCCCATTAGTCACTATTCGCTATGGAAAAGTTTCAAGCTTTTGAAATATTTCATCTTAAAACTATTAAACGATGGATGAAGAAATCAATGATGCAAAAAAAAAGTTTTATGTTCATGTAACACTTATATTTTGCTGTATCATTCGATCCAAAGGCTTTTTATGAGGAACTGGCCTGATTCCACTTTGCTACTTTGTGGTTCATGGAATCAGTAGACATGTCCTGTATCAAGGTCTAGACTTGAAAAGTATTTACAGTATTTATTGGGCTCTGTCTTATGGGCTTTCTTTTTGGCTTTCGAGGGTGAAAGAGTACTTCCATGTGCATTCTAACGTCCTAAAGTGATCAGTTTGAACCGTTTTCACTTAAATGTTTTGATGTATGTTGATACAGACTTTTCTCCTGGCCAGCATTCTGGCTTCGATACCCCCGATGGAGTCTAGTCACTGGTGGTGGTTATGGTGTAGGCCTGGATTTTAAAAATTGCAGCCTCGAGCAGGCTATTTGTTTTAGATGTTTGCATTTACTTTGGAAGAACAGTGTTTCTTTCTGAATACACTGAATATTTCTCTAAATGTACCTCGGTTCAGCTGTTGCCGAGGCTATGCACCTAGCAGCCACCTTGGGTAGAGGTGATGGGAGGATGCAGGATGAGCTGAGGAGCTGGACCTGGACGATGAGTAGCTGGATTGGAGGAGACTGCAGTAAAGGAGACTGCAAAGAGAGAACGAGAAAAGATTTTAAAACTTGATAGCAGCAGGATGATTGGCCGATAGAGGTTATGGTGGAATCTGGTTGGTTGAGTTCTAAAATAGTAATGCCCATAATAAAGAACTACAGTTTGTCCAATTATGTTCCCAAAAAAGCATCAGTGGACAAAAGGCAAAACACAAAAAACTGTAGCACACTAACACATAGATGGAGTAATAGTGACTACAAATCACTTCTTATTGACAGTCAATGGACAAATTGAGGTTGTTACATTTACGTTTTATTGTGTTTACTGTGAACAATGTTTTTTCACTAACACACATAAATGGAATGCAGCACTTATTTATGTTATTAGTAACACCTTTGTTTGAAAAGACCTTACACTGGGAATAATATCAATCTTTTTAGTTGACATCTGGTGTCCGTTTGAAAAAAAAATATTTCATTTCATTGCATCATTCTGCAGACAAAATTTTTTAACTCATGCTACGCTCTGACATTCATATTTGCTGACACTTGCATTATGAGAAATCCGCAACAGCTCCATAATGTAGAACTGATGTGACTCCACCTTCTTTAAACCGCGGTGATAACATCTCTGTCCCACTCAATTCTTTGCATGGATCCTTCCCTACGCTCTCTGGCATGCAGGCTTATCACAGCAACAAGTCATCAACACTGTGACTGTGTGCCGACCATGACATGACGCCAGTCGTTAAGACAACATACTGCATCTGCTCTGTATTACTGGAAATGCGTTACAGATCAATGCTGTGATTTGGTGGGAAAAGAGGTCACAAACAGGGCATTCCCTTGGATGCAACAGCCCACATATGAAATGATGATTGTATGATTGTTTACATAAACAGACTAAAACTGTGTTTTTCAATATTTTGCCACAGAACAGCAGTAACTGAAGACCTACCACAGGCTGGTAACCCCCTCAATTCATATGTTACAGCCTTTTTCCCATTAAGCTTTATTCATTTTTCTTTCAAAACCAGAAAGTATTACTATAAACTAAACATAATCAGACTCGAAAACTAGATTTTCAGGGTTATATTGCATAAAAATGAATAATTTGAACTCTGTCAAAATTAATTTTACAAACTCAAACTTTTGCAAAAGTTCTGACTTTTCCGCAGAGCCAGCCTCCCTAAGGCATTGTTTGCATGATATATTCAGCTCCTCTGCTTCAGGCTTATATTTCATATTTCTATGATCTAGCAGAGAATATGACAGCCTCGGGGTAAATGCAGTGTAAAATGAAGAAACACAGACAGCGTGCTCAGATCAGTGGTGGGAGGAAACATTAGATGTAGTTAGGAAATGTCCTTTTTGTCATTGAACTCATGGGGTTTCACAAAGTTCACTTGAGAAAAAGTTTTAAAATATATCCATAAAAATCCGACTCCTGCATCTTGAATGTTTGTATTGGACCCTGAGGTGACTTATTCTCTCTTTAGGAGTGACATGTGTCTGTTCTGTTCCTTCCTTTTTTTGGCCCCAGAAGAACGATCTCAATGTCGAAGTCTTTCTGCATCATCCTTTTCTTTGTTTCATGATGTTTTTCTCTAAACCCCAAAAGAAAATATAGATTTTATCTTCCCAGGCAACTACTGGAGTTTTAGATCTGGTATGCCATCTTAGTTCTATGTACCGAGACCAAACTTGCATATCTGCCCTCATCTGCTTTACACATAAAGATACACTATGTGATAGCTTGAGACATGAACCCACAGGACAAAGGGACAAAGGATGTCTATCAGTAAAAAATTTCCAACATGTTCTTTTCAACTGATGACTTGACTGAAAAAAGTCTGTACTATGAGGGGTGATACAAATGGGCTTAAATTCAAAGTTTATTTTTCCACAATTAAAGGAAAATTATCCGTTTGCCTGCCAAATAACAAAGCCAGCATACATAAAACATGTTCCATATTTGTCTGATCTTACTAGCTGGTACATTTCTGAATTATTTTTTGTACAGCTGTCCAACAAATATCAGATATTTGGATGTATAACATTCCTATGACAATGTTCAGCAGAAATTAGGTAGTTCTATTGATTGATTTTGTAAATACATATTATGTATGTACTTGGAATTTAATAGACTGTATATTCTGGGGAAATGCCAAAATTGGTTTTGCATACAAATTTGTAAGTCTTAAAAGCAACAATCTGAGTTTAAACATGTGCCTTTTTCAACACATACACTCCTGAAAAATTCTAGAAAATTTCAGGAAAGCCTTCCTGCTGAAATATTTCTTGCTTGTTGTGACGATATGTGCAGGACAGGAGGTTAAAAGTGGCGCCGGTGACCTGGCGGTTAGTTTGCGTGCCCCATGTACAGAAGCCGTTGTGCTCGAGTGGGTGGCCACACCTGTGTCTTCTTTACTTCCTGTCATTCCCCACTGTCTCACCCTGATGAGTGTGAAAACAATAATGCAGTGTGTTTAACAGTTTAAAGGCACAGCATCTAATTTCTGCTGTCATTTTTTTTTTTTTTTTGTGAAAATACATGAATAAGTTCTTCAGTATTCATTACAACAGTAATCATCCTTAAGAAAAGCAAAGTAAGAAAAAAGTGATGACAGGAGTCTACCAAATGTTGTATCATGTATCTCATTAAGTATAATGGAGGCCATCCAAATGAATTGGGACTGATTTAAGCAGCCAAACAGCAGAGAGAGTGCCATTTCCCAGCAGTACGTTAAGGCGCAGACAGACTTTACCACACAGGAGACGAGAAGAAAGACAGAAGTGAAGCCAGACTGCTGATTGATTTCAGGAAAGCCACTGGGCCCACACACACACACACACACACCCACACACACACACACATCAAAATACACCCGCCCTCTTTTTTCCATGCTTACACATACACACACTCTTCCCTTAAGGCAAGCATGTAAGTCTTTAGTGCACAAGGTCAGACAAGGATTGGTTACATGAGGAATTCCCTACTTACTCCTGCAGTGACAGCTGGATTATCTGCCTGCAGGGAGAACACATGTTGATAATATGAATGTGTATGTGCTTAAGTGAATGTTTCATCTATGGAGACTTTCTGATTGTAGGAACTTAAATCAGTTTGCGAGATTAAAACATTTTTCCCATGCTTCTCTCATCTGTCAGGGTATGGTGTGTCGGGAGCCGTTCCCCTTACCTTCAGTTCCTGCTCTGTATTCAGACAATACAGAGAGTTACTATGAGGAGGCTCAGCCCTATGAGGAAACTTTGAATGGTAAGAAGGTTGCTTCATTAGTAAATCACATCACAGCCCAGCTTAAGGATCATTAAACACCCTCAACATTTTAGACCTCACTGAAGGTGGAAATTCTGTAATTTTATTGGATTTTAAGCACATGTATAAATAGTATAGGATAATATTATCAATATATATATATATATATAATATTATTACAATATTGGCTTTACTTTTCAAAAGTAAAGCCAATGCTAAAGTTGCTTTAAAGGTCAAATATTATAATAAACACCCTTTAACATGTTTTCCAAAAACTGTTATGTGTTCCTAGCCTGTCTACAAATCCCACAATTATGAGAAAAGTCCATTCTCTCCATCTTTTGCCTGATCTACTTTTCAGAAAATGTGTGCTCACACAGGCTGTATAGAAATGTTTCCTTTGTGACATCACAAAAGGCAGTAACCCCTCCGCCAGCTGGGTGATCCTCTGACAGCTAGGTGTATGTTCTGTACTCTGAGTCTGCCTTCTCACCGTAAACAATCGGACATGGTGCAAGGAAGCCTGAGCGACATCCCCTTCCAGAGGGGCGTGGTCGAACATGGCTCACATGAATTTAAAAGCTATCGACATATAAACATCCTGTTCGGAGCAGGGCTGAAATACAGGGGTCTATAGACATGATAAAAAAGGATTGAAGTGGATTTTGTCAAGAAACTTTACAGACATGTTTTGGGGACCTCTATAACTTTTTTAAACTGGTTAAAGGCTTTAAATGCGATTTTTCACACTTAAATATAATAGAAATCAAGTATATCCTCTGAAAATAACTCAGTGAGTCATGACTGTCTACAATGGGTGTAACACCCGAGTCCCACTGTCTGTGATGCTCTCCGAGTTTTCCAAGTCCTATCTTCAGTTTGTTTACATCGCTTGGACAGCCGGACAGCACATCCCCTCGTGTATAAAAGTTGTTTAATTGAAGGACTAGAGAAAAGAAGAATAACATACTGTACTCACTGCTTAATTGAATGTCACGTAAGCGTTTCTAGATCACGCTCATTTCGGGTAAATTTACATGCAGTGTGAAGATACGAGCATAATAAAGATCGCTAGCATGGTCATGCTAACACAACAATGCAGTGCGAGTTGTTTTGGTTTCATGCTGGTGCTCATCTGCTGGATCAAAAAATCGCATATGCCTTTAAAAAGGAGGATAATATGTGACCTTTTACCTGCATTCTTTTAAATGGCCTGCAGGGGGGGATTCAACTTGTTCCAAAGTAATCCAATAGTAAAGGAGTTTATGAAAAAACTAAGTCTATGAGAAACCAGCCCTACTTTTATCTTGACCCGTGATTAAAGTTTTGACTCTTATCCTTGAGTTCACATACGGTCAGTTTTAGCTCCAGAAAACCAAGATGGTGACTGACAAAATACCAAATTCAATGCTTCTTCTGATATACGAGAAAAAACATTCATGAAGTTCTTTTGTATTAAAATGTTGGTGTACCAGTGAGCTAGTAGCCTACATGTACATTGCTTTAAATTGAACTATTATTTGTGTTAAAGCTGATTCCTGTGTTGAACAACCTTGACAAATACTGATATCTCTTTTTCAATTTACATTTTTAGACTTTAAGATCTGCAGATCTGATCTGCAGTAGTATTGAAAAAGGGGCAAGGGGTAAAGAGGAATTCTTAAAAAAAACAGTTATAGGTGTATTTTCTTAATAACCTCAACCGTTAAACTTGACCTTGTACTGGAAACAGATTGACACTCTTGTTGTGAAAAACATGCTGTTTATTAAGAACTTGATTCACACCCTGCAAGACTTGTACCTTTAAAAAACAACTGCTAAGACACCATGACCACATCCTGTAAGAAGCATTCAGTTAATTTACATGTTGGGCTGTGGTAGTACGTTATTTAAATTGTTCATATAAAGGACAGCGACACATTTCTTCATTGTCGTCACACTAATTAAGCTGTCTTAACCACAGCGCTGGAGGATACTTGCTTCTGGTACTTACAATGTATTTTTAAGTACATTCACAAAGTGGTTAGAGGTGAAACTGGACTACATGTGTTGCATATTTTTTCCACTTAGCAGAAAACTGGTTGGAGATATAATTTGGAATTGCAGAGGAATTTCATGTTTTCTTTATCTGTCTTCTATTATTCTTCTCTGTAATGTTTTGAAAAGCATTTTCCCTCATTTTTTCAATCTTTTTCTTCTTCTTCTCCTCCTTTTCTTCTTCTTCTTCTTCTTTCCTCTTGTCTTCTACTTCTTCTACTTCTTTTTCTTCCTGTTTTCGCTTTCTTTTCATGGTGTGTAGATCTGGACTGTTTCGGCCTCATCTCAGGGCCCTGGATGCGAGTGCAGAGCTCTGACAGTGTTGTCTATGCTGTTATCAGTAGGGGTAGCTACCTCTCTATCGATGGATGTGTGTGTTTATGATTGGCATGCCCCGATCTTGTAGTTGCTTGGGTCCTAAGAGGGAATGTGTACTGACAAATCGGCATGAGCCCTCCTCCACATTGTCGAGCATGACCAGAGTCCTGCATGATCAACTTCACGAGTCAATAATCAGTACTATCTTATCAATTTCCTCAATATTGGTGTTGTCCTTTTCATCACACCTCTCATCAATGTTTTAATAACTTAATTTCAGCCAGACAGTTGCAGAAGGTCATCACAATCATAGAATAATCTTCATCTTTTGGTCCTCCAAACTAATTTCTAACTAAATGATAACGCCTCTTACATCCTCTCGATTCATTGCATCACATCTTCCCTGTATATTTCCTAGATGATGGGGAAGCAGTAAGCAGTTCATATGAGTCCTACGATGAGGAGGAAGTGACCAGAGGGAAGTCGCCATCAGCGCAGCACCAGTGGCCGTCTGCAGAGGCGTCCATTGAGCTGATGAAGGACTCGCGGATCTGTGCTTTCCTGTGGAGGAAGAAGTGGCTGGGCCAGTGGGCCAAACAGCTCTGTGTTATCAAAGATCATCGCCTGCTGGTGGGTAAAAAAGAGTCGAAAGTTTTGTGTTCAGTTACACAGTTACAGTCATTGGCTCAAAGGGGTTTCATGAGGGGAAGGGTTTGCTGAATAGATCTGTGAAACAATTACATTTTTAAAATCAGATTGTTTGCTATATTTCAATAGTTAATGGTGAAGTCCTCAGCTCTATGGAGAATTGTATCATTCCTATCAGTATTACATTCAACCAAACAGAAAATCCCGTGTAAGCCAGATGCCCAGCACCAAATGGTGGACAATGTTAGCGACTAGCTGTTGGATACAGTGCAACAACGGGCAGCTGAAAGGTTTGAAACTGCTTGAGACAATAATACAGTGTAAAGACAAGTTAATGTAGGGCAATTTATCAAGTAAACACAAACATAACCCTAAGTGAATATTAATGTTGATTATTTTCTGTAGGAAGGTTCAAGCTAAAACTATTTACTAGCAAGTTCACCATTATACTGATATTGGATTGGGTGATCAAATAAAAAAAGTAAATACAGTTTTAGCTTACAGCTACAGCTAGTTATTAATTTTAACTTTAAAATAAGATAACAGGCTCTCTTAAGCTGGATCGTGAACACATTTGTCTTCCTTTGTGTACACTAAAATGACGATTGGCGGTTTAAATAGGAGCTATGCTGTGCAGTTTCCTGGCTAAATTTAGCATAGTTTACATTCTGCTGTTTTGTTGTTACAATGAGCTTTGAAGTGGTGAGTGGATAAAAAAAAAACCTGTATTTCTGAAGAAATTGTTGAAATAGTGGCAGACAAAAGTGTTTTGTCTTGCTATTTCATTTTGAGTGCTAGCAGTCTCCCCGGTTTGGCTTGTCACCTCCCAAGTGTAACTCCATAATTGGTTAATACTGGTTAATATTCATAGACCAAAAAGAAAATTGCCCTGAATATTGCAGTATGAAACCTCACGAGGATCAGGCTGGAAGAAATTCAACCAGTGATTTAAAAGTTCAACTTATGACTTTTATATCATTTGGGGTTTATGAGCTCTATTTAAAACCGCCCTTGATTATATCAATGCAAAGGTTTCTTTTAGGATATAACCTCATGTTAGGAACCTTTCTTAGTGTTTTGCTTTATTCGTGGCAGTTTGTTGTCTACAATCAGCCTTTGCATAGTCACAAAGTAAAGTCAGGGTTACCTCTGCCTCTTTCAGTGCTATAAGAGCTCCAAGGAACAGACACCTCTGCTGGATGTGAGTCTGCTGGGCTGTACCGTGGTCTACAAGGAGAAGCAGCTGAAGAGAAAAGAGCACAAACTGAAGATCATTCCTGTGGGCGGGGAGGCCATTGTGCTGGGCCTACAAAGCAAGGAGCAGACAGAACTGTGGCTCAGGGTAAGTTACCCCCAAAACACCTTGTTTGTTTGGTTTAAATTCAAATGATTATTGTCATTTTTTTAAAGTTAAATCACTCTTCTCTTGTTTAAAAGGTGATTCATGAGATCAGTCCAAAACCAGCTGAAAACTGTGAATCCCAGCACTCTGTCTCAGACTCCCCGAGGCTCATTTGTACGAAGGTACATTTACATTTTCTTAAGTGAACATGGAGATCTACAGTATGATCAGACAACCTTTGGACCTATATATAGGACAGCTGAAGACAGACAGGAAACGTTGCAAAGAGAGAGTGGGGGGATGACATGCTGCAAAGGGCCAAGGAAGGATACGAACCTACGGCTGCTGCATTGAGTGCTCTGTTCAAGGACCATGTGACAAAACCTCTAGGCTACTGTCGCCCCGGTGTGAGGAGTTTTTAGCCAAGTTTTCACCAAAAGTACCAGGAACTAATCCCAGTACCAGGAGCTTCTTTTAAAGGGTTCCTCCTATCACTTGTTGCATGTGTTTTCATTGAAATCGAAAACGTCTTATAAGAAATGGTTCATTCTGCACAAAAAATAATATTCATTGTCCAAGGAGCTTTTGAGGGGTAAAATGAAGTCGCTCTGACTTATTTTAGAACCTGGTCCCTGTGGTAGAAATCATTAAGTTCCACCAAAAGTTCTTTGGGAAAATGTCTTCAGGTGGAAACGCAGTTTAAGATTGGCTAAACCTTAACCACTGATATCCAGGGCACATGAAAATCTTTTGTTTTTTCTACCTTTGATATAGCTTTTACGTCTAATGAGAAGTTTTACTAAATGACTAAAATGTTGATTTTCATATTCAGGGAGATCTGAGTGAAAGATACTCAGTGGCTTCAGAGAGCGGCAGCAGCACTGACAGCCACGCTGAGATTCCCGAAATCAAAGATGGTGAGTCACTGAATCTGTTCTAAATCATTTCTGACAGCAAAAATGTAAAGAAAAACAAAGGAAAAAAACACATTTAGAGATATTTTTTCTTTTCATTTCGACAGTGAAGAAAAAGTATGGTGCAGGTTTGAAGTTCAGCAACCTCATGAACATTGGCAAGAAAAAACCATCGTCGTTAGAGAGCCCAGAGAAATGTGTGGACACCTCAGGTGAGCACAGATTGACCCTGCTGTGCCATAATCCACCAACACAGTTAAAATCATTCTTGTCATTTCTGTACTTGAAAGCTGAATGGTGTTTGTATAATGAGAAGGTGTCTGGTTAAGTAGTTACTTCCCACTAGACTAAACATGTCAATATTAACCAGTTTTAGCCTCTAGAAATGAAGTCATAATGAAGCTCCTTGAGCATTTTACATTTATCTTGTAGCTCCAACTAATAATAATCAACAGTGGTCAGGCCTAAAAAAATTACATTTATTTTTTACCATAGCATACAATGAAATATAATCAATAATGCTTAGCAGAATTCCTGTTCAATTTGCTGGAGAAATGTCATTTAAGTCATCTTCTCTGTTCTCCATCAGGCTACCTCAACGTGTTGGTGAACAGCCAGTGGCGGACCTGCTGGTGTCTAATCAAGAACGGCCAGCTGTGGTTTTACCAGGACAAGGGCAAGAACAAAGTGAGCCAGCCGGCTGTGACTCTGGGAGGCTGCAGCGTCTTGCCCGACCCGAGCCCCGAGCACTTGTACTCCTTTAGGATCGACATGGACGGCACACAAATGGCAACACTAGAGGTAGATGAGCAATTTAATACAACAACGTCACTGCAAGAGGATTTAAATATGTCCTTAAACGTTTACCGTGTCACACAGTTTCACACTACCACGACTTTAAAACTTAAAGGTCACATATTATATTCAAAATCAATCTTTCATACATTTAAATAATGTTACACAAAAAGAAACACACATTGGATTGAAAGACATACAGTTGGACCCCTGTTGTTAATAATTTCGTGCAGCGTGTTTTCAATCCCTAGTTTCAGATAACCAATAAGAAATCTGAGCCGGCAAAATGTTTGGTAGAAAGAAAGTACCTCAGCATGTCTCAATAAGAAAAACAGTTTTAGGCTACCTAGACCATAACATGCCCTCATTTGGAAATAATTTTCTGCTGACATCAAACTAAGCCTATGTAATGTATGTGTGTGCACAGGGGTGGTCTGTGTGTTTGTGTGGTTATGAGTGTGTGTGTGTGTGTGTGTGTGTGTGTGTGTGTGTGTGTGTGTGTGTGTGTGTGTGTGTGTGTGTGTGTGTGTGTGTGTGTGTGTGTGAGATGGGTGTGGATGAACTGGGATTTCGGGGACTGATGCTACACCCTTTTTTCACTGGGCTTCCAGTACCACCCTGCTTCAGTGTGTTTGGTCAAAGCCAATGGAATTTCATGTTTAGTCTTCAGGCCTCTGTCTGACATGTATATGGTTGTCCTTTTTTTTTCATTTTTCACGAATGGAAACTTCTCTATTGTAGTATATTTGTTAACCTCATCAGTGAGGTCTGGCTCACTGATGAGGTTTAAAAAAAAAAACAGTCACCAGTCTATAGTTTTGTTTTCTCAATTGCAAGATAATCATCCTGTTATTAAGAGTAAATAACCTTTGTTATCTTGAGATGATGAGATAAATAATCAGTTTAAATGGGAAAAATCTGCTTTTGTTTTCCCGAGATAATGGAAAGATATTGAAAAAGGGCAAAGGGCGAGGGCCCGAAACGTTACATGTGATATTCCATTAAATTCTATTCAACTGGAGTAGCTTCTGGTGTGCGGACTCAGTACTTTTTCTATGTTTGGATGTTTTTGGTCCAGCACCCAGTACTTAAACTTTCCAATATGTGCGTGCCTTTTTGACATTTTTGTAAGATAATGAGAAAACAACTCAAATCTACTTCTTATAACAAGAAAATCAGCATTTCTATCTTGAGATAACAAGATAAATACATTGAGATATTGAGAAAAATCACCCAAAACTTATTACCCAGAGAAAATGGCCTGAATTAAATGTAAGGGTGCATGTATGTTTAGCGCTGCCTTACATGTCATATAATCCTTGTTTTATCTAAAGACATGTTAGATAAAACAATTAATCAAACATCTAAAGTTCTATGTGGAAAAGTCATTCTAAGTACTTAAAGTGGTTTTAATTCATTTGGTGGTGTCCACTGTGTCTTACTTTATTTTGGAACAGTTCTATTAAGTAGTGGATAGATATTTAATCAACTGCTGGGAAAATATGCTGGAGCAATCATCTTATAAATATAAAGTGATGGATGGCATGCAGCACAAACCCTCAGCTGCTTTTATACCAGTGATGTTGCAAGTGCATGGTATGTTGTAAATGCTCTTTCTTCCACTTGTGTCTTTACTTCCCTCTATCAGGCGAAGACGTCGGCTGACATGGGACACTGGCTTGGCCTCCTGCTGTCACAGACGGGGACCAAGACCGACCCCGAGGAGCTGGCGTACGACTACGTCAATGCTGAGAGGATCTCCAGCATCGTCAGTGCTGCCAAGACTTCCTTTTAGTAAGATCCTTATAACTTATTTCCACTGAAGGAGATGCTTGCTGTGTGAACTGTATTGACGTGAGACCTCTAATTGTGTTTCTTTAGCTTGATGCAGAGGAGATATTCAGAGTCAAACACCTACATCGAAACCCCACCCTCCATCTCTCACAACTCTGATGAGCTATATGATGACGTGGCATCGTTAGCCGATCCAGAGGTATGCTCCTGATTAATATATTTTTAAATTAGGACATTTTAGGGAGGTTTAATAAATGTTGATGATCCAAATTGCATAACCTGGACTGATAGGTATCTCAAACTGTATTACTCTGTTGTGTTGGTGTCTTTGCTATATAAAGCAGCCTCTCTGAATGTTTTATTGTTCTGTAACCAATTGTAGTCTCACTTTCTTTCTCACTTCTTCTGGCCACTCTCCATCTCATAACTTCCTCCTTTATTGTATCACAGGATGCAGAAGAGAGCGGCCTGCCTGACAGTGAGGACAACAACCTTCAGGAACAAAATAAAAGCTGCTCACAGGAAAACAAGGACTCAGAGCAGGACACTGAAACAAGGGTTTACCTGGACCTGATCCCTGTGCGCTCCTTCCTCCACACGTCCTGTGCAAATAAACCTTCGCCTACCAAAGAAACGTCTGCACCTTCTCCGGTCACAGAAGAAGAACAAAAGGAGCAATCATCTCAACATAAAGAGGTAGTAAGAAGGGTTTTAAATGGGAAAATGTTATTTCATTGCAGTACTTTTACACTTTTGTTATTCTTTATTCCAGGTAACGTCTTCAGACAGTACTGAGCCAGAGTCAATGCCAGAGTTAAATGGAACAAGTTCAGCGACCAGCAAACCAGAACAAGAGCTCCCCCTGATTCCAAATCTCCCACAGCCACAAACTCAACCTGTCAGGATCTCGTCCCAAAGTCAGGAGACCCCCAAAAGGACCCTGGGGATCCCACAGGTCTTCAACTCCTCCTCCTCCTCCTCCTCTGGGATGCAAATCCATAATAAAACTCCAGTGGTTCAGACTGGTTCCGGGTTCCCTCAGAGTCCTCAACCACTTCGGCCCAAATCACATACTATTGGTGAGGACAAACAAACAACAATAACATCTGGGAAACTAGATTTGCAGGGTCCTGTTTAGAAAAAAAAAAAAAAGATTTTACTGACTGAGATTTACTGCTTCCTTACATATATGTAGTTTTACACTCTTATGGCTCCCTCTAGTGGTCATTGCATCATCTGCACACTCAAAGGCACATCTTGAAATTGTAGTTACAATGAAGATTACACAAAAAAAATATATTTTTTAAAATAAAAACAACATCTTTTTAGTTCATCTCGGCAGTCTGGGAAGATAAAATATTGAAGTTCAAGTGAGATGTTTTTGGTCCGTTATTAAACAGATTGAAATTAATACTGATGCCTCTATATGACCTACAAAAAGACTGTCAGAAAAAAAAGGTGTATTATTTCTTCACTTTTGTTTTTATTGACTGTAAATGCTGCTACTGAGTTGGTGTCAGGCAAGGAAGTCCGCCTTTATCAAAAAACACTACTTTGTCCTGTACAGTACATGATTAGCAAAGAGCTAAATGGTACTGTTTTGCCAAAATTGCCAAAGCCCAAGGCAAAGTTCCCCACATGTGCTTTGAATGGCAGTATTTTTGTGTCTGAGATTATTCCCTTTAATACTCTATATTTAGGGTGTACTGGTGCATTCGAAGTCAAACTGGGCAAGAACCGCACTGAGGCAGACTTGCGCCGTTACATCGATGACCGTGACCGCCTGGAGAAAGAGAGGGAGGAGGTGAAGAGCAGTCTGGCCAACCTGAAGAAGCAAAGGAGGGAAACCAAAGACGAGCTCACCGCCTGCCAAGGTTTGTCTGCACTTCATGATAAACAAGACTGCTTTGACAACAAGGTTGAGGCTGATGATTGACAGCTGTCAGTTCTCCTCAGATCCCAAGAAGCAGGCCTCATTAGAAGCCTGTCTGAAGCAGAGAGAAGAGGCGTGTCGGGAGGCGGAGCATCGTCGAGTAGAGGTGGAGCTACGGTTGATGGAGGTTAAAGAATGTTTGAAGAAGGTGGAGTCAGGGCCGTTCACACTGGGAACCACGCTGGACAGCAGCCTGCAGGACACGCCTACAGTGAGTGTCACGGTTAATTGATGGTAATATTTCTGAAACAAGCTGTTCAGTCAGTAGTCAAAGCTGTGGCTGGCTTCTCGCTTTACCGCTCTACCTTTACCCTTTTAGCCTAAAGCAGCAACCCTGCCTGCTTCTCAAACATCAGCAGCAGCAGCAGCATCAGCAGCAGCAGCAGCAGCAGCAGCAGCATCACATCCCCCAAACAGTCACATCAGTGCAGACTCCACCTCCCCCGTCAACTCTGCATCAGCGCTCAAGAACAGACCGGCCTCCATCATGGCCACCAAAGGCAAAGTCCTACAGAAAGCAATGGTGAGACTGTAGATTTCTCTAGTTGCAATTCCCAGTGGCTCTTTGAGTTGGTACCAGAGGTGGCAATAGTACATAGACTCTTTACACAAGTACAGGCACAGATACTTACTGAATAAAGTAGGAATATTGACACAACCCCTAACTGAAGTCAAATTGTATAATCAGGCTCTGAAATCGCAGTTTTAAAAAAGTAGCCCTCTGAGGGACTTTCCTATTAACTGTGTCTGCTCAAAGCTGACTTGACTTCCCATCATATTTTGGATTTTTTTTTTTATACTTCAAATCTAATAAATAAATATTGAGAAAAGTTATGAACAATAACTGCTAATCAATGTGCAAGAAATAATAGAATGGTATCTGAATTTGTTCATCAGTGGTCATTTTAGGTTAAAATCAGTCTTAGTGATGGGAACGGTCTCTGAAGATGCAAAATAAGTAGAAGTAATTACCTTCAGAGTTGAAAGTTAAGATTTTTGTGGATTTAAGTAGGCAGAAAATTCCGGGAAAATAAATTCACTACAAAGCACATGAATGTAAAACCCCTCTAAAGTATTAGCCAAGTGTCTTCCTTTCCCGCCTTCGCTTGGCACCTTAAAGATTGTACAGTAAAGGCTTTCTACTGTCACTTCACCTCAGTTTCATTATGTTTTTTCTGTTTAAACAGGAGTGGGAGAAGAAAACCACCACCTAGAGGAAACCCGAACGCCTTTTGACCTCTGAAGTCCACAAGTTTCTCTTTAGGTCTGGTTGACCTTCCACAATTGCCGCGTTTAAGGACCAGTCAGTAAAATTCTCTGACTTTCATCACCTTAATCAACTTCTTGCCCAGACTACAAACAGCCAATCAGAGTGAAGCTCGAGCCGCCTTCTAAAATATTACTGGATAATCTTTGTTTCAATGACTTTTCAACTTGTTTTCTGCATTTGCTTAAGAGAGGATGTTGATGAAGTAGCATTTTGGCCAGTTTGACAATTCTTTCTGATAATGAAGCACAAAACGCCAAGTATCTGATAACCACTGAAGTTTAAGACACAAAACCACCCCTCGACAAAATAGACCAATTTGTGCACCATAGATTGTAGCTTGGTTTATATATGCTGGTAGCCAAGATGTAAATATATTTCCACCATTATTCAGCCCGTTGGCTTGTATTGCTAGCTAAACATGCACTTTTTATTCAAATAAAAATGTAATGACAACATAACAGGCTTGACGTTTGTTAATGGAAGTCTCCTTTTGCCTTTAACCTGAAATACTTTTGTCTGACTCGTGCATTTGTAAAGCGTTCAGGAGTAGTAGTAACTAAGCAGAGGCCACTGGAGGCCTGCAGCATTAAAATTCAACAGGGTCATTAAAGTTCAATGAGTCACTACTTGCAAATGAATTGATAAAGAATTCATGAAGTGGAATCATTTGGTAATTGAGTGTTCGTCTGGGTAATCTTTTTGAATAATTAAAAGGTTTGAAATTGACTTTTTGCAACTCATTTTAACAAATAGCAGTTTCACAAAGATTTTTCAAGCTAGTGGTTAAAGAAGGAACATTCTACTCTGCACTTAAGACACGTTTTAATAAAGCTGGAATGAGAAATTAGAAAACAATTTAATTTGTGCCATTATGACTTTGATCTGGGCTGCATGTTGTGTTGCCTCACAGCGAGGAGGTTTTCTGGTTCAAATCCCAGGACAGGGCCTCTCTGGGTGGAGTTTGCACCTTCTTTCCGAGCATGCATGCATGCTCTGGGTACTTCGGCTTCCTCCCTCAGTCCCAATGACAGCTGGGGTCGGCTCCCCAACCCCCCAACTAAAAAAGTGGTATAGATGATGGAGGACTTTGATCTTTTTTTTTCCAAAAGTGATAGGGAACAGGCTTATAAAAGCTATAAAAAAATCTTGGTTTTATAGTTTACTAAGAAGCACTCGTATAAATAATAATAAAAAAAACCATATGCACTTATTTTTTAAATTTCTTTGGTGAAAGGAATATATAAATATATAAAAATGTAAAATAAACTCGGTATAAAGCATCTTTTTTTGCCAAAGTTTCAAAGAGGAACAGGGTTGGGGGTGATTATACAATAAAAAATAACATCTTCACATGAATAAACACTGTGATATTATATTAAAGTTTACATCTTGGGATTGAAACATGCTGACAAAATTGCACAACACAAAGGTGACAAATGATCACTGCAGTAGAAATACACACAGTTTGAAGGCACTTACTGATGCGGAGTGCAAGTTCAACTATTTAAACAGTAACCATAGTTTTCCTCTTGCTCCAGCGTATACCTGAACACATCCCTGGTATTAAATGTCCAATAAAGACTTTATGCGTATAGTCGTTTTTTTTTCCCTGTGTGCTGTATCAGGCAGTGTGCCGCCTGCGGTGCAGTTTGTAGTGATGAAGAAGCTCCTGGTGACTTTTCTTCTGCCGGCTCTTCTTCTTCAAACCAGCCGGCCTCGGACGATCTCCTCTGGTAGAAGGCCTGCTGCTTCCTACGGACAACACCCACAAACAAACTCTCAAATCTCTGTGTATACAAATGATGCAAATGTTGCTCAAAGGTTTTGTTTTACAGGGCACTACTATGACCTTTATATGAAAGGACAGAGGAAAGGAGCCACAGGTCGGATTTAGACCCGGCCATCTGCATGGAGGACTGAAGCCTCAGTACTTAACCGCTAGGCCATCCATGCCCCAGGAAACCCCTTTTTCTTTCTATTTTTATTGGCAAGATGCAGCCGCATCCAAATGCAGTTGTCAAGGGTAGTCTCAATACTGGTTTTCATCTTACAAAGTTAGGAACTTCTGCTTTGGCAAACACTTTAATTCTTCATTCAAACGCGCAGGGTTTTTGTTTCATGCAGACAAACATATGAGCCCCCGTTAATTACCTTCAAACACAGTTAAACCGTCTGTTTTGTTATCTTTAGGCAAAAAATAAACTATACATTTATGTGTAGGATAAATAGTGTTCGACCCCTCAACTCCAAAAGTGGAATCTATCCATCCTTCTATCACTTCAAAGGATTGGGGCTTATATTGGGTAAATTGAAAGCTGTGTGTGGCTCGTGCAGAGGATGATAGTACTTTTTACCACATTTTTTTATATTGATTTTAGCTGGATGATATTCAGCCTAGAAGTTTGCTGAGTTAATGTTTACAGTTTTGTCAGAAGAATAGAGACTGGGGGGGGGGGGGGTATTTGGGATAGTTACTGACTTGTTTCACAGTGTGGTCCTTCGAATCCTTGGCACTGACAGCGGAAACTTCCACCAGTTAGGTTGCAGATCCCATCGTTCATACATGGGTTGGGTTTGCAGAGGTTAACTGGCTTCTTCACCTCTGATAGAAAGACCAAAAAACAGCGCATTATTGCATAATAAAGAAAACAAACAGATAATGTAAAGGAGAACCTATTTATGAGTTTACACCAGTTTAAGTGTAAGGATATAAAAGGAAAAAAGGTACAGATTAGATTGCAGATAATGTTAAGTTACTTATCTACTTCCGTGCCCCCCACCCCCCCCTTGGAGACTTGGAGAGAGTTTTTCCCTACACTCTCACCTGAACACAACATCTGCACCAGCACATCCTCAAAATACTTCAGGTCCTCGTAAGACGGAACAGTGATCATGTGTTCCTCTGATCCAGTGATCTGCAGCAGCCTCTCTTTCTGCACATCTCCGATACCGATTACAAACAAAGACACTCCGTTGTCTCTGATCTTTTGAGCCGGGACCAAAGCGTCATCCCCGCCTGAACCGTCCGTCACAACCACCACTGCCTTGTTGACCCCAGGCCGAGAGCCTTTAGCCACCGTGAGGACGTTGGAGTGGATATGAAGCAACGCTGAGCCCGTTGAAGCCACCCCGCCCATGTAGTTGGCGTCGACCACAGCCTTGAGGACGGCGGAGCCGCTGTCGTGGGTGTCCAGGTTGAAGACGGTGGTGGCTCTCCGACCGTAAGTCACGAGAGCTACCTGAGCCACGTCCCGGTTGATGTCGAACTGAACGGTGAGGCTGCGTACAAAGTCCCGAAGGGTGGCAAAGTTATCAGGGCTGACGCCTGCTGAAGCATCCAGAGCAAAGACCAGGTCTACTGCTTGGCCCAGACACCCTGGACAACAACAAAAAAATGAATTATGTAGTAATGAATTTGCAATTTACACAGTTTAAACCAAAAATGTATCAATTTCATTGCATTGAATCATTTTATTCCTTTATTTTTCTTTCTGTTTGGATCTTTGCATCTCCAGTGTGTGTGTTTATTTTATTTTTTTAATGTTAACATTTTATTTTGTATTAGTTGTTTCTATAATATAGAAATGGCATGCAACATCTCAGTAACTTCAAAACTAAATTTCAAATAGTTTCTTTTTTCTTTTTGGATTAGGGCTGATAGAATCATAATAAAAAGTATTTGACATAATATTATAATATCAAGACTCTGTTCTCTGATCTACTTTTGTGCCAGAAAAGGATAATGTTCAAACATATTTTTCATACACATTAATTAACTTTTTCAACCAGTGCTTTTTTTAAAGATCTCTATCACACAATTAATACCAAAAAAATCGATTTGAAACTTTGAACCACTGGATTCTGATGGAAATTCAGATATGATATTTGGTGTTAGTGTAAGGCATTTTTATAGAATTTAGAAATGAGGAGAAAAAACACTCTGGGCATACTATGCATATGTACTGATTTTAAAGAGGACTTGTAGTAGTTAAGAGCAGTTTAAGTGACCTAAAGGTGGCGATAGCAAGCCAAGATGTGCAATGTTGAACCATCAAAGACAGGACGAAGATCACGTTAATATAAACAATGCTGATTTACTGGGTTACTTATGCTTAAGAAAATGCACTATAAACACATTTGTTAGACTTAGAGGACACACACTACTTTATTTTTTGAGTGACCCTGAATGTAAACCTTACTGTGACTGTGGTTTGTGTTTAAAGGATAACCCTGCAGTTGTTGAGTCAGTACCTTGGGTGTCCACGCTGCAGATCTTCGCCTTCAGTTCTGGGATTTTAGCACTGAACTCAGCAGCCGAGTAGGTGATCGTCCTCTGAGGATTTCCTGTGATGTTATTGAGCTGTCCCTTTAACAAGACTGGACCCATCCCGATCAGGAAGATCTCTCTGTCTCTGGCATATTTTGAAGGCTCCACCACATCATCAACGGCAGGAGTGGCGCTGAGCAGCACCACCACGCGGGGCAGATCGTCTGTGACATCAGCGAACACTGGCGCACTGACAAAGCCGTTACGAGTGACGTAGCGGAGGGCCTGGCCTGTCAGGGTCTCTCCTCCGATTGGCTGAAGCGCCTCCAAAGCCTTCAGCAAACCCTTCAGGTCTCCTTTAAACTTTCCCACATGGGCCTCGACTCTGGTTTCTCCACCGAACACGGCCAGGCCGACTTTACTGGGGCTGTCGGATCCGATCACAGTCTGCAGGAAGCGCTTTAAGAAGGACTTGAGGCGGAGGAAACCCTCCAAGGTGAGCTTGTTGGAGCCCTCAACCAGGAAGAGCAAGTCAACTGAGCAGTCCAGAGACAGAGCGGGAGCTGAGGGGGGGGGGGGGGGGGAGGATGTAGTCAGTTTAGACTGAGATAGCATGCAGACAGTCGGTCGATTTAAGTTATGATTAAGTGTAAAAAGAGGCACAGACCACAGTGTGGGTCTCCTCCGTAGCCAGGTGGACACACGCAGCGATAATCCTCTGGACCTTCTGGTACGCACGTTCCACCGTTTAGGCAAGGCAGAGAGTCGCACGGATCTACAGAGCAGCGCAGAGAGAGAGAGAATTGCTTAAATTAAGTTGGACAAATGCATGTAAACAGGCACATACAATAACACGGATCATCTAAATGTGAAGAAATAGCGATGTCACCTGGACAGATGGTCCGATGACAAACTGTAAGGTGTCTCTTGTACACCTTGTTGTACCTGCAAGAAAAGAAAAAAAGACCTGAGTCAGTCCCTTTTTGGAGAAAAGGTGGAGCCTGACCCACAATGTCATCAGCGTCTTTCTTTATTTGAAACAACTTTCTTTGGCCTCTTCAATATCCCAAGAAACTCATGATGCTTTCTTAGACACTTCAAATGTGAAGTCAGAGATTTTAAACAGGTGTCTCTGGTTTTAAAGAATACAGGGGATGGATTCAAAAACCATGCAGTCATGAACACTTGCCTGTAGTGTGGACAGAGAGACGTGTATGGGGAGTAACCCTTGGCTCCTTTCCAACACATATAATTTCCGAGCAACTCTTTCACTGTCTCCAGTGTCTTCCTCTCACAGGGAAACACCTCCACATGACAACCTGGGCAAAAGATTCTGGATATTTAGGTCGGGAAATTTGAAAGGAAAC